GCTTTTTTTTTCTTTTCTTTTTTTTTTTTTTTTAACTTTTGCTGGGAGGTGTCAATTAAGAAGGCTCTGCTATAAACCCCTTTGAAAGGGTAACGAGGTCAAAAGCCAGAAGCTGTGAACTCAGAGGAGGAGACATTAAGTAGCATCAGCTGGGTCTCTGCACTAAGGGAAAATTCTCCTAATTTGTGAAATGCTCCTGTAGCCAACAGCAGAAGTGCAAGGCTGAGAGTTCCCTAGGGGAGCTACTGTAATCACTTAGGAGAAAGCGTATGTGTGTGTGTTGGAGGGTGACCTGCCCATCTTCTTGCTCGGTTTATACTTGAGAGGTTCTTAATCTCTCTCTTAATGCAGTAGTAGCAGTTGGTTTGCTGGTGTTGTAAGCTTCCTTAAGATTGGTGACTAGGTATCACCTAATTGTGTGTAGCGCTAACTGCAGGAGTAGAAAGAATATCTATATTGTAAGAAAGAAGCTATTTTGTATAGAAATGCTTCCTGCCAGGTTTAACGACCTGGTGGTGAGGGTGTTCCAGGAAAGGGTCTCCTCCTCTGGTGCCCGCCTCTGCTGGCCTTTCTGCCTTTGGTGGTGAAGCATGGTTGTTGCTTAGAGGTAACAGGCACCCAGATGGTGGAAGAGAGAGGTGATAGTCATGCAGATCAAACGTACTTTCTACATAAGTCATGACAGTGTAAGCACCTCATAATCAGACAGACCTATTAACATAGCATGGAAATAGGCCTCTAAGTTAGCATCTCTCAGTAAAGGTTCATGAGCATAGACTACAGGTTCATCAGGTGGATGGTGTGTCTTCACTCATTCAAACTGTGCTTAGAAGAAAATTGATAGGGAGTCTCCAAATCCCTGTGACTTCAGTTGTCTGAAGTAATGCAAGCAGCCAATACTTCTTAATAAGGCATTGTGTTTTTATTGCATGTGTTTGAGGGTAAATAGTACTTGCATGGACTTTAAATATATCTGTGAAGAACTGTACAGAATTCATCCTGCACTGGGGTTAAGAATATGCATATTTGAGGATTTATGTCCACCCTTTCTCTCCCCCACCCTGACATTTTGGTGTGGGAAATTTTAAGTACTTTATCATGTGTAGGCTTTCAAAATGTACAGGGACCAGGTGAGGGCCGTTGTGCTGGCAAGTTGGCTGTAGTAAGCCTAGTGCTTTCAGGAAGCATCAGATTTACTGCACATGCACCTACTCAGTAGGTGTAATTCCAAAATGTATGGGCTGAACATGCTGTGCATGTGCTGTGCAGTTCTGATGCATGCACAAAATTAGATTTGCTATGCATAAATTGGGAGTTTGTACATTCTGGAAGCCTCAAAAGCACTCTCTGTGTGTAGGTGTGGTCTTAAGATAGATTTGTGTGCGTTTGTCTGGATACCTTAAACTGAAATACAGGACTACGCTATTGGGATCTGAGTAAGACATAATGAAACTAAAATAGAGCTAAAATTGAGCTGACTTCCTGCATAAGTGAGAAATTCATTTTTGAAATAAAATCACGGTTGCTATTGTACAACAGAGCTCTCATTTGACTTGTGAGTATGGAGGATTTTATCCTTAGTAAGCACAGAGTGCCAGCGAATTTACACTGATGCTTCAATTAAATCTGAATTCTGAAGATAAAGGAAATAAGGACCCTGTGAAAACTAAGATCGTCGCCCTCCTTTTTATAGCTTTTCTAAGGAACAAGAGTGTATGTCTTGATGCACGCTGCAGCTAAACTTCTTAATGTACTCTGAGGTCGGTCACCTGAGAGAGGAGCAAGGCTTTTGAACGGGGTGGTCGCACGTGTTCTGTGCGAGGCAGCAGCTGGATAGGAGGGAACGATGCTGTGTGGATGCTGATGGGGGGAAGCTGGAGTGCGAGATTGTACCTTGTTAGGCAGAAGAGAATAAAAGGTAAGATGGCTTTTTTCCTCCTAGCCTTAACTGTTGGAAAAGTGTGAACTGGAGCTTTTGAGAACAGGAAATTAGTTCTTGTGATTGCAGACTTGGTTAGCTTTTCGTTTCTCTCTCTTGGTTTAATGCGTCAGTAGAAGCTTTAAACATGAATCACTTTGAAAAATACATTCATTTCTAGTCCAAAATTGGGGTATTGCCAAATGAGGAAAGGTTTTGGTTCTGTATAAAGGAGCTTAACTGGTGACTCTGTCCAGTAGCTTCCACAGTGTGGAAAGGGCATTTATCCAACTGGAGTGAGCGTCGGGAAGTGTAGTGCTTCAGCAGCAGTTTGCGTTAATGGTAAGCAACCGCTGTTGACGTTCTTGCTTGTTCTGTGTAGCTTAAATGTTCTGCGATGCAGAACTGGTGGTTCTGCTGGTGTGCAGCTATCGCTGGGAAGTGAACGAGCTATTGAAAAGAGACTTTCTGAAGAGTGAGTTCAGACCCCGCAGCAGATGGCTGGGTCCCCACTGAGCCCTGAAACACGGAGCCCAGCCTGCCGCGCGGGGCACCCGCGTGCTGCCCTGCCTTCCCGAACAGGGGTGCCTGCACCTCCCACTGCCTCCTCATTTATTTATTTTTAATATCTGGGTCAAAAGTAGAGTTGGGGAAAAAAACCCCACAAAGTTGAAATTAGAAAAGCACTTATTTCTAGCATTGTGTTAATGTTGAGCATAAATTGTCAAATAGAGCCGGTTGGATGCAGTTGGATGGCTTTGAGCCCTTGCCAGGGAGGCATTAACACAACGCACAGTAAGTCCTGAGCACTGCTGTGTCACCTAGGAAAGTTGTATTTACATCTCTGCCTATGTTGCCATTTTCTAATAGCGCTATAAACTAGGGGCGAGAGATTATACTCCTATAATGCGTAGGGTAGATATTTGAACAAAAGTACAGCTTAAAGATCATCATTGTTTTGACCTTTCTTTTCCTCTTCTTCTCCATGCATAGTGTGATCAATCAATAGCTGCTCTGGGAGCACTGGGTCAATACGATTTAAGCCGGTTAGTATGTCAGAGTGATGCCACTTCAAATACCGCAGCGTTGAAACCTGGCTGTATAAATAAGGACGCGTATCATAGAAACTAGTTTGGTAAGGGGAAAGACATTTTTCTCTGAAAGATCTTTTTAATGGATTACTTATTTTAACAATGAGATATCACTTTTGCATTATTCCTGAGCTGACAAGTCTAGATTTATGCTGACATAAATGATTTTGAAAAATAGAAATGGTCAAAAAACCCTGGGAGAACTGCTTCCCTGATCTGAGGCAGATCAAAGGAGAAACTGAGGGAGCGAGTATGCACATGTGAGGAATTAGCTTTGATTCTCCTTAACTAGGTTAGTCTGAAAAGTTCTAGTTCTTTAAATAGAAACATAAACTATAGACAAATAACGTAATTTTCATTGCACGCCAGTGAAAATTCAAGGTCTGCGTGCCTTGACTTTTGACTTGCAAAGTAGCTTGTTGGCTTTACCAAACTTGTTACTTTACCAAGGTTTTTCTTTCCTTTGTAAGAAAAGTGAATGTTGTTTTACAGATGGAGATTTGTTGACCTGTGGGTGTTGAAAAGCTTATAGGTCGCCACTTACTGACTTGGGTAAGCCTTCAGTTCATGGTACTCTTCCAAAGCTTCTTTTCTTTTCTTTTTTTTTTTTTTTTGTAAACAAAGAAAATCTTAGCTTGCAGACTTAATGGAAAACATGAACCATCTGTGAATGTTACTTGCAGCTCATTTGCTTCATTGGCAAATATTAAACTGTGTTGTAAAGATCCAGTGAAATTATGGAAATGGGTTTTAACATTAAAATCAAAGTGCAATTAGAACATTTCACTGCATAATTGTTTGGCAGAGTAAGATAGTAGCAGAAGATACCCAGCTTTCTGATTTATTGGTCACAGGTTGTTTCTTTAGAACTACAGAAGCTGGGATACGTTTTTATATTTATATTTTTTAAATGATCTACACAGTCATGAAAAGACAGTGTGTACATATTTAGTTTTCCTTTTTTGTATGACTGGTTTTTACATTTTCAACCTGTTATCTCCATTTTCTCTAACCCAGCATAAGCTGAAACTTGGATGCTTCAAGGAAGTAAAGACAGCAGTGCCTTCATGTTTTACGGTTGTGTTTGTCTTTGTGTGGAACGTAGACTATACTTGTTTTTCTTATGTCTAATAATTAAAAATGGTTAATCATCAATGTGGTAGAGTATTTTGTAAGTAAACACCATATTGCGATAGTCATACAAATAATTACAAAAGATACCAATTAAATGTGTTCAGAATTGTGGAAGAGGTTAAAATGGTGTTGATGTAGTGTTGAAATCCCTTAGAAGAAAAAAATTAAAGGGATATGTGTGTGTGTATATATATACACAGAGTCATGGTTTTGGCGAATAACTTGCACTCGTGATGCGAATGATCTCTGCTTTGCTGTCTTTTATCGATCCATGAAAAATTATAGTAAGCTGACCAGTGATACATGTAGTCCTGGTAGTTTTTATTTTGTGTGCAGGATGCTCAGGGTAAGGTTACGTTTACTGCCTTGGGCAGCTGGACACCATGAGCTCAGCCCTGTAAATGGAGCTCCAAGTAGTTGAAATTACTGTGCGGTTGTCTTTTGTGTAAAAGCTTTTCACAGAATCACAGAAAGGCCAAGGTTGGAAGGGACCTCTGGAGATCTAGTCCAATCCCCCCACTGCTTTTTAAAGCACAGACTGTTTTGGGTTTGTTTTTTTTTTTTTTCTGTTCAGTGTTTATACAATAGGGTCCTGTATGTGAATAGAGTCCCAGGTGCTACTTTAGTGCAAATAATTTTTTTTAATTGCATACTGTGAGCTTCAGACTAGCTTCAGGAGTAAATATTTAAGTACCTCTAATATTGAACATTTGCTGAATGCCTTAGTATTCCTGTTTCTAAGTGTTCAGTTTGCTTATTTGGGGAGTAATGTTAGTCTAAGGAAGAAAAAAAAGTGTAGCTTTCCAAATTATCTTGTTAGTGAGTTCAGCTGGAGTTAGGAGTGCTCAGCACTTTGCTAGGTAAGGTGAGCAAAGTGTGGCAGATGATTCCAGCTCTAAGCTGAAGTTTTATAGGGAACATTGCTCCTTATGAGGTCAGAGCTATATTTCCATGCAGTAGGAAGGTAAACTGCTTTGCAGGGAGCCCTGTTGCTCTGGGGAAGACATGTGTTGCTTCTGTATTTGAGTTGGGCACAGCTGGGTATTGCTATTTACTGAGAGCGTAATAGGAAAACTCTGATAGTTTCCAGCAATGCAGGTGGGGCAGATGTGAAGCATTTGCCCATAGCACACAAGGATAATGCTAAAAAAGCAGCTGTTCCCCTAACAGTCGGTTCAAAAGCAGGGTGTTTCCAGTGGTGACCTTTATCAAGACTGAAATAGTCTTGCCTCAGCTAATGTTTGAAATGCAAAAGTGTTGAACCATGCTTGTTACTGGTCACCTGGTGTGAAGGGATTTGGTACTGTTTGGTCTCCAGCAGGAGTTCCCGTGCTCACGATGGTTTGGGATTTTTCTCCAACAAGCCTCCGGTTTTTCTTCAGTTGGTGGAAATGCTGGTGGGGGGTGTGTGTGTGTCTGTTAACCGTAATACCTTTGCCAGCAGTATCTTTGGGCAGGGAGGAGATGTTGTCAGGGCTAAGGGATTTTGACTGGATTTTCAGCAAAGATCTGCTAGCAGTGGTTAAAGCAAGCCCTTTTATCTGACGCGCAGTTACCGCTGTAGCTACCTCGTGCGTCTGCCTCTGGGAAGGATAGTTCTCCTTACAGTGGCATCTGCAGATGCGCCCTTGTTGGGGCAGACTTTGCGGTGTGCCGCGTTGTGGCGAAGGTTGGGAAGCGTGTGAGGTGCTTAGGATCTGGAGCTAAGGATGGGAACCAGGCGGTGGCTGAAGGCCAGGAAATACATTGGGAAGTAGAAGAGGAGGCTGGAGGCTTTTGTTCCCAGGCCCTGTTTTAATCCTTGACTTGCATCCTGACCCTGGGCTGGCAGTTGGGGATAGGGTCGGAGCTGGCTTCTGGGAACTGAGCTCATTCTGATTTTGGACTATGCTGCCTGGAAGTGCAAACTAAGATGTGCTGACATGGGTTTCGGCAGGAGACCTACCTCTTCGCTTTTGAATTGGGGAGCCTGCCAAGGCCAAGCGCGTTGAGGTGTTTTGGAGCGAAGGCAAAAGGCTTGCTTTGTGTGTTCTGGACCGGTTTTCTTAATAAATGTGCTATGGGCTTTGGTGTGCGGAGGCTGACAGGCTGCTTTTCTTAGCACTGCTATATATGCATATCAAATAAAACATTTTTCTAAAGATAAAGAAAGAGCTAAAAAAATCTCAGCAAGCATCATGCAAATGAACCTGTCCGCTCAATAGCGTTTCCCTGCAAACACCAACACAGTGTAGGTCTTTGTAAAGTGACAAATCAGCTGAAGCAGCAGGAACCTAACTGAAAAATAGCAGCTTTTTTCTGAGCACCTCTGGAGGTTAATTGATGAAAGGATTTCAAGTTGATAAACACAACAGGAGGATTTGGATGTTCTCTTGGACGACAACCTGTATAGTCTGTGCTGCTGACTATGTGGTAAGAACTGTAAGCATGAGCAAATTGAGATGATCTTTTCTCAGAAATACATTTATATATTTGATACGTATATGACTTTCTCCGTTTCAGTGCGAAATACCTCCCTGTTGCTGTGAAGTCTCAGATCATTTCAGATCTCTTTGGGGACTTTGCGCTTAGATGCGTGTACACAATAATCCACCAAGCAGGCACAGCAGGCGGATGACCTCTTAGCTGTGAGGACCCGTGGATGGGAAGCAAACGAAAAGGGATGGACTAAGGCGGCTTTGCGTTATGAGGCTGGCACGTGGTGATGATAAACCCTGGCACAGCGCTGCCGTTGAGCTTTCAACAGAGCTCAAGTCTTGCTACCACCACTGGGAAAACTAATAACATAACAAATGAAACCATTGTTCACTTTCATTAAAAAGAAATCTGATAAGATGGGAAAAATTGAATTAGCCAATCTCAGTAGAGCTGCTGCTTGTCAGCGCACAAGGGGTAGCGTCTCTGATAGAGCGAGCGCGTCCTGGGTCGATCTGGCTGGTCCGGGCAGGCTCCGCGTGCGGGTGGCCTGGGCGGCTGCGGGCCAGCGCCGCTCGCGACGGCAGCATTGTGAATTGATTCCTCTTGGCCGGAGGCGCCGGGGCTCCCTTCTGGGGAGGCTGCTGGGGAGGGCTCCCCCGAGACCCGCACGGCGACCCTCCTTGGGGTGGTTTGCTGCTGTGGGCAGTTACTTGCATTCCCCCTGTCCCCCCCTTTAATCAATGTTAATATCATAAACCTGAAAGACTTTTATGCCCAGGCTTCTTGGCGCTCTAGGCCAGCGTGGGCTTACAGCGACTTGTGGGTCTCGCGCCCGTCTCGGGGAACGCTGCTGTCTGTAACTGCACGTTTTCTGCAACAGCCTTAGCTTGCGTGTGCAAGGTTTGATGCTTATGGCCCTTAACCATCGCTCTGAATTATTACAGCTAAACTAATCAACGCGTGCTCGTTTAATGTTGGAACACTAAATAGTCTGACCTACGGTTAACATGGTAGTCATCTGCCTCGATCTTTTTTAGGCTTTGAGAAGACCGTTGGAGGAACCGCTGTCGGGACCCGTTGGGATTCCTGAGCTACACGTGACATGACCCGATTCTTCTTTTCCCTTGTTATTTATGTCACTGCAAAGGGTCTGTAAGCACAAACAGACCAAAAGGGAACGCTGCGTTTGTATTTATGTAACGCAAGGTAAGGAGAGTGCGGAAATGCTGTTTATACCTTTAGTTAACGTGTGAGTACGTTTGTCGTCTAACCTGTAGTGCGTGGAACAGCATTTCGTGTGCTGAAGTATACAAAGTCAGTGTCTGGTACAAGCTGAGGTAAAAAAGAGTGAAGGGATGTGTGGGGTGTTTTTTGATACTTTATAAGTTGTGCAATGCTGACTAAAAGCAAGGCAGTAATCACCTGTGGAAAGGTTTTTTGGGAAAGAAACCTAAAAACTGCAGAAGCATTTAGGCTTTAAAATAGTACCTGGGGAGGGGGAGACTTAAGGTGGTCAAGTGATACTTTACTTCAGGTGGGTGCAATAAGTCATAGATAATGCAAACACCATATACATATGTGTGTATATATATATATGTATGGTGTTTGACAAGGAGAGGGAGGTTTAAGGAGGCTGATCTGAATTAACACTTGCAGGGAATTACCTAGCTTGCATTAAAGCCCTCTGAAGTCTCAGTATTGTAATGTCCTTAATTCAGTTTAGGTTCCTTATTTTTTATATAAATTAAAGTTATTTAATTCTGAACTAGAGACTTAGCAGTGTTTACTTTTACACCTTTATTCTGCTAAAATTAATTTTTCAGATTTTTTCTGTAGGAAGCTTTCAGCTGGCTTCTGCTAATCGAAACGGTGTTGCTATAGAGAGGATTTCTTCTTTTTCCTCAGCATGGTAGTCTGGGGACTTGAAACGATGGCAGTAGCCATTTTGTAATACTCTATTACTTGTTGCGTCTTTTAAAATCTCTCTCATGTCTCCTTCTTGTGGAAGGTGTGCGTTCTTACCTTTCGGGTTTAAATAATATGTTATGAGATTTAAAAGCCTACTGTCCTTACATGATCAGAGTGAACTACTTCATTTTCAGTATGTGAGGAAATGAAACGTTTTGTAATAGAAACTTAAATCCTCTGCCTGTGGTATGAAATGACCTTGTATGGTACAAGATTTAGATCTACGCCAATGGGCACTAAACCCTGCTAAACAGTCTTGCATCTTCAGCTAGCTGCAACTCCATTTTATAAAATCAAAATGGAAATTGTATTCTGAACGCCTTTATTTTAGCAGATTTCAATATAGTCATTTAAACAAAAGTATGAATGTCGAAGATTGAGAGTTAAAGAGAAGATTTGAACGCTAACATTTTGGAGAGATTGAGGGTGTGTGGAAACTTGTCTGCGAGGAAAGGCTCGTGAGCTGCCCCTGCCATGGGCACGCGCTCGAGACGCGAGGCAGGAGCGGGGACGGGGCGACGAGCACCAGTGGGATGCCACTCTGACTACCGGCATTAGATGAAGTCCTACAACAGGTCCCAGAACTCTTCTCAATGAAATCCATGGAGCAGAAATCTGTAGGCACTAGTGGCAGTCTTTTACATGACGTAACCCTCGCCTCCACCTTGTTGTACAGTAATAGTTGCTAACATTAACAACTGCTCTGCCTTAGTCTAAAGAGCAGACTGAGCGGAGTTTACTGCATATTTGATTTATCTGGACTGGCAGGGCGGGAAGAGCATTTAAATATGATTAGAAACTTGGTGTCTTCCTGCTGTGGGGTTACTGATGGTGACGAGGAGGAAGGGCCTCAGAACACTTTCAGTAGTGACACGAATTTTATATTTGCATAGGAAAAAATGTTGGGATCTAGACTTAGATTGTGTATTCTGTAAAGTGGCAATTTGAAATACAAAGCACGTTCAATAAAGTATTGCCATACCAAACCAAAGCACCAAGTGGTTTTGCTAGTGACCTCTCAGTTAAAAACTGTTGATGTCTTCTGACAAAGTTTAAAAGCTGTTGGGGGCGTAGGGGCAGGAGTGGACAGATAGTAGTTGTGGAAATCGTGCCTTCCTAGGCAATATATCCTCCTATTTCTGTTTTTGGTATGGTTTCCAACATTCAGCTTTGCTGCAGTGCTATAGCTTTTGTTACTTTAAAGAAATTGTGTTTTGATTTGGTAGAATAGAAGACAAAGCTAGCTAACGGTCAAAGTCATGCTGGAATAGATAGATACTAATTAGGTGACTGTGTTAAATTTCATAGTAAAATCGCCCAAGGATCCTGCATGGAAGGAGAAGGAGGTATATTGAGCTCTGCTGATTGACCGCTCCAGCTCTCTTAATCTTGGCCTTTTGTCATCCAAGGCAAAATTAGAATTTAATTCAGAAATATCCACTTTCAGAATGGATTAATTTGAATAGGAATTAGGACATGAGCACATGAAGCTATTCAGAAATAGATACTGGAATTTAAATTTGTGCCATCCCTTAATTCAGGTGAACTTTGAAGAAGAGGTGAGTCCTATTAAGTAGATTTTAACCCAGTTGTTTTAACATGCTGTCAAAGTTCAGAACTGGAAAATCTTAGCTTTACTGTAAAATATGTATTCCTAGTGGTTAATACTAAATCTGTTTAAAAAGTATGTGTTGAGTGTATATTGTAACATGGACTGTACCAATGTGCTCCAAAGCATCTCTAGTCTCATTAGTGATAACTTTCTTCAGTGTGCCTTTATCTCTGCATTTCTCTGCATGACTAGTAAAGTGATAGCAAAGCATTCTTCCGGGCGAACTTCCACGAGTTAATGTTTGTAGGTGTTCTGAGGTATTCAGGTAACTTTGTGATGAAATGTGAAAGTATTCATATTGCGTATCAGTGGATGACTTGTCAGCAGTTCCAAGGAACTGCAATACATACTGTTCTTCAGTAAAAAAAATGAAATGTAAGGATGAAAGTTAATGAGGATCTAATCTAAAACTATAAATGCAGCTTAGGGCCTGCTGCCTAAATTGATATATCTGTCTTTCTGTAGAAGATAACACTTTTATTAAACTGATACTGTAGTTTTATTGCTTGGACAGAGTTGTGACAAGGGTGGTCAAAAATGGGAACAAGTGCAATGGCTTGTGACAATCTATTATTAACTGGTTATGAGAAACAGGGAAACATACCTACAGCGGAAAAGATTGGGGGGAGAATATTGAAAAGTGGTCTTGGTTCAAAGGCAAAATATAGGCCATCTATAAGTATTTGGTGCAAGCAATGGCCTATTTTAAAACACTCTCCAGGTTCCTTAGGCATGCATAAGGTGAAAACTAAAGCAAGTGAGGTAGTGATTTTCTTATAAGACTTCATGAATGGCTTTTCACATCCTTATGATACTGAAACGTTTCAACTGGAGACAATATAGTCTTTACATGTATATTTTTCCCTCACAAACATTCTTCTGACCACAGTATCAATTCACCTAGCCTAAGACCATCTTGGGAGAACATTCCCTAAAGTCATAGTCCCTTTACTTAATCATGGATCTAGGAGACTTTTTGAAAAGGGGTAGTGGGTTACTGGTAACATATGATGCTGAAGCTGAACTTTAGCAGTCTCAGCTGGGAGCAGGAAGAAATTCTGTTATTCACTGTATCTGTTGCTTCCTTTCTTTCCTAGATCCAGTTTTCTTTTTTAGCTATATGACTTTAGAATCCTCTAGAAATAATGGCCACGTGCACATCAAATTGTGAATTCAAAGGCTAACAGAAACTGCTCTCTCAGCTTTCTTCTGGATCTCGGGAAAGCCCGACCGCTGTTCGATGATGCTTGGCATGCCACGAGAGGCAGCACCCTTTTGCTGGGGCACAGTCAGTAGTGCTCAGGAGTGCCTGAGTGCTGAACTTTGCTGAGCTGGCAAAAACCGTCCTCCAGGGACGTGCCGGGTGTTGTAGTGGGGAATCGCGCTAGAAGAGTTTTGAAGCTATTGTCCCCAAAAGAAATGGTGCACAGAACTCTGCGGCGAAGGTTTGTGCTCCAGCAGGTAAGTTTAATGCAAATGAGAGAGAAATCGGCGATGCCAAGCTAATAGTACTATTCAGCCCTTCATATTTACTCTGTACTTAACATTTTCAGCAGAGGATAAAAACAATTCATTCCTTAAGAGGCCTCGTGGCTTTTTCTTTTCTGTTATTCAAAAGTGAATGTTCAGACTAAGACAAAACAGTGAGTAAAATGAAACAAGGAGACGAGCATCTAATGCAGATTACTTCTGCTGGAAGATGGCACTTCCATAAAATGGAAGCTGCAGGCAGCAGGTGCTTGGAAAAGTAATGATGATATAATATAAAAAACAGTGAAATTACAGTTGCTGTGTAACTCTACCTTGCAGGTCAGTTTATCTGTGCAATTCAAACATAGTCAGATTTAGAGGAATTGCGCTCTGTAAAATGAGAGCAACGTTTATTTACAGGACCTTGTCCCACAGGTCTTGTCCCAGTCAGCTTAAGTGGGATTAAAATCAGCCCCAGTTCTGGCCGTAACCCCCTTCATTTTGTCACATGGGGCTGCCAGTATGCCCAGCTTCTGTTATTTCAATTGTATGGGTAAAAGTAAGAGATGACTCATTCCTGGGCATTGTTATAATAACAGGAAGTGTAGAACAGAGCTGTGGTCCAGATTGCTTCTCCTGCATAGCTTAGCTTCAAGTAAAACAAACTTGCAGTGATCAGCTGCTATTGAAAAACTGGACTAATGCCCAAATAATGTATTCTGTATCTGCAATGATGAAATGGCAGCACTCTTCGTTGCCTTAGTGTTTGTAATATTGCCATACTGGTGACAAACTTTCTTGCACTGCTTATGGTGCAGGTTCCTGTCAGTCTGAATTTGATTCATTTTACCTTATTGCACCAAAGATTAAATTATGTCACTTCTCTCTGTGGCTACATGTGGTTGATTTGTGGAATACGTCGAAGTGGTGAATGCATAACATAAGATTGATTACGATACCATTTCTGAGAGTGTAATGATAGCTTCTTATGGCTTTCAGCTCTGTCATTGTGCTGGTGTCAAGCTGTTCTGAAATGAAAGGCAGTTTGTGAACCTGTGTTATGTGTCACGTTATCTTATGGGAAAAGAAGGTGGGGAGAGCAGCAATTTAAAAAAAAAAAAAGTGAGAAAAATCACATTTATTCATTGTATTTGTA